AAAAAAAAAAAAAAAAAAAGAAAAAATTGACAAGGTCGTCGGAGCAGAATTTCGAACGTGCCCGCTGGTTACAATTACGTAAGAGTACAAATGAGCGATATTTAGAAGAAGTACGAAATTGTACGTCGCGACAATATGGTAGAGTGGAGAAAGAAAAGAAACGACGCGTTGAGTCACCGGCATTGCCTCGATCTGAATCACCAACGATCATTCCCTTCGTTCGTAGGAATGTCAATTCAGTCATTCAAGAAAATATGATAAGTACAGTTTTTATTGATTTGCTGAGTTTGGGCCAGTAACGATTTCATGAGTCCTCTAGAAAGAGTAATATTTTTGACGTGACGTAGCTTTGAGTACAGAGATTCTTTAATCTTCAAATTAAAATTTATATTAAATTGGATTTTTGAAGATAGTGCTCCTTGAAAGAAATCAAGAATGTGACTACAAAAAAAGTAACAATATCATACTGTCTTAATATTTTTCTTAAATTACGAGAAAATAATAAAATCTTCAAAATCGTCTTCCCTTCAAAATCTGTATTTTCAAGGCACGCGATTCGATGTGTTTCGATGCTCGACTCGAGAGAAACACGAACGAAAAGCAGACAAGCTGGAAAAGGTGCGCTGAAGGATGAAACGTCGGGGAAGAAAAATCCAATTCGATCTAAAATCTCTGCGGATGGATAAATTGCGAATGAATAAATCTATCAATCCCTGGCAATATATCTCGTTTGCAAGATGTGGGTGACACGCGTTTCCGCCACTCACACGCGATACCGTAATGGTTTGGACAATAAGATGATATTGGTGGCGTGCAGTTAGCGACGAAACGAAATTCGTAATGGTAAGAAACGGAAGTGCGGCACACCGTTGGAGATCGATGGTGTTTATTGCAACCCCGTCGAGCTTACTGGATTCATCCATTACCCTCCCTATATCTTTCCTCCTCAAGCTTCGGCTTTTATTGGATGCTGCTTGTAAATAAAAGCTCGGTGCAGCGGACCGTTGGTGCATGAACGAAATATTGACTTCTGTTAAGTGTAAACAGCGAGGACTCTCCTCCGAGGGGAGAGCTTTTTAGTGTATTTTCGCGACATTTTAGAAAAAGGAAACTGGAAGATTGAATAGTGCGATAAGTAGGTTGGGACAAAGTTGGCCAGACAAGCGAATTAATTTGCTGGGGTTTTGCAATTGGTTTTACAAGCTACGAACTTTGTAGCAGTTATAACATCTTTTTATAATAATAAGTTATATAAGAGTAATATGTTTGAGATAATATATCTATATATTGAGATATCTTAATCAATTATGATAATGAAAAAAAATTATTCTGCAAGGCTTTTCAGATTGAAGAATTGTCTAATAGTTTATGTAATATAGTATAGCTAAATAATGTTACGACGTGGTACATCGATATTATGACAATCGAAGAAAATCTTGCATTGTATAATATTTCACGAAAGGAAAGAACAATTGAACCGGGGTGGGAATTGAACTGAACAAGCTTTAGAAAGAAACAGTGACGATAAATAAGAAGTATTAGTTTGAACGTGCTATACGTAGCAAACGTGGCGAGTTTTCTTTTAAGACGAATAACATCTTATAAGAAGTGAAAAAAAAATTGGAACAGGATGGGGAATCGAACAAGTAAGAACGAAACTATAAATAAAAGAAGAAAAGAAATTAACTTGCGATCGAGTATGCTGTTGAGAAACAGAAGAAACCTTTTTCAAACAATATTTTGCAGAACACTGGGTATTATATAAAATGAAAATTAATTTTAATTTTAAGATTTATATTACGAGTATTATTAATAAATGTAAAAAAAGGGTTTTTATTCTTAAGAATAAAAAAGAAGAAGAAGAAGAAAAATATTCTAAAGATATGTATGAACTGGGACAGAATTACGTTAATTTCAATTAAAAATTAAGTAGGATGGATAAGAAACGAATCTACAACGATAATAAATAAATAAATGTTTTTGCAAAGATTCGGTGACTGGGCATGCTACTTGCAAACGCGGAGAGGGCTTGTCTGTTACTAACGGCGATCCACATTATACTCGACAAGGGCGTCTACGCCGAGACGTTCACCCTCGGTTATATCACCGGTTCGAAAAGACGTCCAGGGGACTTGGAGTATCAACGTCCTGGTTACCGGATATCCGGCGCCATATCGCTCGCCGTGGAGGAGGTAATCGAACCGCTTATTTCCCCGCAGAATGCCACAACACTGACCGCAATTAGCACGGAAGTGCATAATTAACGACGATAAAAGTTTCGAATCACTCTCTGTGTTCCACTTGTATCACAATCACGGCAACATCTCCGGACAACATTCCTTTCTTCCGAGAAACAGTTTCGCTACGAACGACTCGGATCCAACTTGGATCCACTCCGGTGGGAATTAACATAGAATAATTCTCTGACTTCTGGGTAAAAGGAAATTCAAAGCGGAACTCCCGCGAAAGTAGAGGTCACCTCGAACGATACGAGAAAATGGAACAAATGCAGGGATGAGATTGAATTTAATTAATTGGATGAAAAAAGGACGTAAGATGTATGCAGGGTATTTCATTATTTTTGTTAGAGATATTTTGTATATGTAGGGACAGTGTATTATATGCATATTAATGTATATTAATATTTATTGTAATAATAAATAAAACCTCGTGTATGTTAAAGTTTCGTTGCTTTTTTTCTTTTTTAATTTAATGTTGGAAATTCTAGGTAATTTAAACGTTGATGAAATATCAGAATACGCACATCTTGAAACACCATTCATCTCTCATTGTAACATTTCTTGCTGCGTACGATGGTAATGACATAAATCAAGGTAGCAATATCAGATGAGATACCTTGTATACATCTAGTATACATATAGTATGGTATATTAGTTGGGTTGCGGTAGGTGAACGCAGGTGAGCTCGGTCGACGCGGACACAAGCTCGACTTCCTGGTCGCGGAAACTTATGGCGAGGAGGAGACCAGCATCCTGATGACCGCCGATCTCTGGACGAAGAACATCAGCGCCTACATTGGGCCCCAAGAAACCTGCATCCACGAGGGCAGAATGGCCGCTGCGTTCAACCTTCCAATGATATCTTACGTAAGTAGCCTTTTCTCTCATTCTTAGCCTTGGCAAAGAATCTACGTGTGCCATGACTCTGTGTGCAAGTCACTACGTGTGAATCAACTGGAATATTTCCGCTCACATTTTTGGTAATGTAATACAACGAGTTGTTTGAAAGTGAATTATTTAGAAAATAATTGAAAATTTCCTGCGTCTTTGATGTCAAACTGTGAAAATATATTTCCATCCTGTTTTCTATTGATTCCGTAGCAGTAAAAAAATTCGAAATGAATGTTACTTAAAGAATAATTTTCCATTTGCAAATAATTCAGTATATTTCCAGTCTTTCTGTTCTTTATTAACTCTGACAGTACACAATGACGAAGGATTCAAAATATTCGGAAAATTGTTATTTCTTTCAACGTTAAAATATCCTGCATTTTTAGCATCGTTTATATAACTTATTTATTTTATTTCAACGGGATTCTAGTTAGACAAGCGTGAAATCCTATTACATGATCAAGATTTTAATTAGCGTTAACAATTATTCTGAATATCTATTTCTTCTTGATAAATCTGCAAACGGGACTACACAAACGCAATAATTTTATTATGTGAATAAATGCTGAGGACAATAACTCTCTAATGTGTATAAAAAAATACAAATTAACAATTGTTTGCCCTTTTTCTTTAACTTTAAAAAGAAATCTCCGTGCCTTATCAAATTTCTGACTGAATCTACTTCTGGATAATACAGTAGGAAGAAAATCGATAAATTATATCAATTCCAATCGGTATAAATTGCTTATCTCTTCCGACAGACTAACAATTAGGTTATATTAAATACCATTGGGTCATATTAAAATTCATCTCTTTGGTATGCTTTGCTCTTAATAAAACTTCTATCCAAATCAAATTAAAAAGTGGGAGAATGGAAGGCAAAAAGCACGAAAACGTAGGAAAACACATTAACTCGCATGCTGTTTAATACAAAATACTTCCTGACGTCACGTAACAACGAATGCATCGCAACAGAGGATTCTCGATACAAATACAGTCGGATAAGGGAAACTTTTTCTCCGTGTCATAAACTTCGGGAGCACTTTGGTCAAGTTGCTGCGTGCATGCTTTCAGCTCGATGCTATTGCTTTTATCGCGATTTCTCTGTACATCGACGAAATCAAGAACCGTCGAAGACTTCCAGCGTCTTTGCCCCCTGAGGATCTTTTATCATCGTAAATTACTCGCGCTGGAAGATAAACAAGTGTAAGAAATGCCGAAAACAATTTCAACACGTCAACACTTATCAAAAATATAGCGGAACCTTGATTAACCAGCTTCATTCATTCGAGACTGTGGTAGTTCAAATAAACTGGGACTCGGCGAAAAATAAAAAGCTAAAACACAAGACAAAATAAGGTCCCTACTCTTTTCTGCAAAACAAGTGAAAATTATCGTAACTCATAATTATAAGGAGTAACCTAGAATTAAATTGTCTTTGTCGTTTTCTACTAAAGTATAATATCTCTTATTTTACACATAGAAATATAACAGATATGAGACTCTGTATTTTTGAAGATTTTGATGACTTTTCCTAAGAATATATAAATAAAAGTTCTTCGTCCCCATTCCTCTCATCACTCTGATATCAAGTTTTATACACCAGTCGTCGTTGAAGAATGGCTGTCAATCAATGCCCTGGTTAATCGAAGCTGTGTAAGTTTCAAGTACGGTGTTATTCAATGTTGAGTTCCATTTAAATCGAGAATAAGCCTATGTAATAGCACGAACG